TTACAGAAGTTAAGTAGCATAGACCTATAAGCGTGAACCTGGCGTCTGCCACGTTGGTTTGTAGGCATGGATTTACGCGCACTTAGAGACGATATCCCAGGCGCGAGAGCATCAATACTGGTTGGATGAGGCGTTACTCCACCCAAAGTTGGAGTTTGCTACCCAGCAAGCCTAAAAGCTGCTGGGTGAGGCGTACATTTCCCCCTCATCTTCTGTCCTAAAAATTACGCCACGATATCTCACCGTTCTATGACGGCTGAGCAATATGGCTGAACTCCTTTCAATAGCCAGTGGCGCGTTGGCGGTGACTACTGCAAGCACGCAAACCGTTTCCGTCATCTCCAAGTTTATCCAGGACTGCAAGGAGGCCCGCGCAGATCTCACCCAGGTTACTCGAGAGTTATCAGGACTTAATTTGATACTCGAGCGTCTTCAGGACAATAATGCTACGACTACGAAAAACTGTTTGCCGAATGCACTTCAAACCTCGGTTCAAGCTATGCTAATAAGTTGTACGACTATTATGCAACATATTGAAGAGACCCTGGACAGATGTCGAGGGAAACCTGGGCCGTTACTTTGGACTACCTTTGAGAAGGACAAAATGATAGCATTCAAAGTCGCACTCGAGGCTTCTAAAAGCGGCCTTAACATTGCGCTTGAGACTGTTAATATGTTCGTCGATGGTTGCCAGGTCTTCATAATTTGGGTGCTTACCTGGAAACGCTGACACCCGTCTTCTAGGTTTATGATATGGGAGATCAAGAACAAAACAAATCTCATTCGAAACAACACTGGTGGAATCAAACGAAACACTAGCGACGCCAAATGCGACGATGAACGCAGCATGGACACAATGCTAGATGAGATACATAGACTGCGAACTCAATTACCTCCCAGCTATCCGTCGGACCGGGGACGACTGAGACTCGAGCAGTGGCTTGATACTCTAACCCAGTATGCAGAAACTATTGCGGGAAGTGAAGGGCCTGGAGAAACCTTGGGCGCAGTTAGCCTCTTCGAAGTCGCTGGAAAACGGGAAGAGGCGGGTGCCGAGACTACTACTAATCGCCTCTTCTGTCCGACACCGCCGAAGCCCTTGCGGGATGTTCTTCCATCACCGCGTCCCCCGGCGAGGGCATCTCCAAGAAAGCGTATTAGTAGTAGCCGTAGGTTAACCTCCGAGTTTGCGAAGCTAGAGGCATACGACCCTAACTGGAGGGAAAATTTTGGGAAATACTTGTCGGAGCACGGACTCGAGGACGAGTTCATTAAAGACAATCAAGATTTTATCGTCGAATTTTTGGAAGAGAACAAGACGAAGGTGACCCCTAGGCGGGATCCAATGGAAGAACGGGCAGAGTTAGGTGCGGAAGCTACTAACCGTATCTCCGATTCAACGCTGCCGGAGCTATCGCGAAACTTTCTCCCATTACTACAGCCTTATACAAGACCATCTGCGATAAGCAGGACCAAGTCATCTTCGAAGTTTGCCAAGTTAGCAGTATATGATCCCGACTGGCGGGTAAAATTTGGAAATTTCTTATACGAGCAGGGGATTGGGGATGATTTCATCGAGGAGAATCAAGACTTCATTATCGAATGCCTGGAGGATGAGAAGGAGAAGAAGGCTACCTCCATCTCAATAGGATGTACCTGAGAAGAAAGTAACGAGTTGGGGTTCTTGGGAAACTCGCAAATGTATGGCTGTAGACAGCGCTTGAAGAATGTGCCATAGTATCAAGTGCTTTCACTGTCTAAAGATGAGCTTGCAATTATTGATGGTCTACCTAGACTTAGATGTTGATTTACCATCTGTCTCGATAGTCCAAGGCCGTGAAGCCTGTTCTACCTACAAGTGTTGGTGAACGTGCTGAAGGAAGTGTAATAAGCGGGGATGGGTTTTTTGAGCACTGTGCTTCGATGGTTTTCTACCAGCTAGAGCGGCAAGCATACCCTAATACAAGTTCGGTTAGCGTCATCGAAAGCTCACCTTGCCGGTCCGTCTATTTCGTAGCCAAAGCCGAAATTTTTGAAGCATTTTCCCCGGCTTCCCCAATTTCACATCTTAGACCTCTCTTCTTGCCCATTCTTCTCAAACTCCCTCCTTCCTCCCCTCATACTCCCTTTACTTGCGCCGGTGCGCTTCTATCATATATCTTCTAATACGTATAGGATACGTCACAATGCAGCGCGCCCTCTCATCCCGCGCCCGGGCATCTATCCTGTCCTCGGCTGCTACCAAGTACCGAGCCGGTGCTGGTCTGTCGCAACAGCTTCGATTTGCCCACAAGGTTCGCTTATTCTTTTCTCTTTTTTAAGATGTATAGAATGGACGGTACTGACTGGTGCACTATAGGAGCTCAAGTTTGGTGTTGAGGGTCGAGCTGCTCTGCTTGCTGGTGTCGAGACTCTAGCAAAGGCTGTTGCCACTACGTTAGGTCCTAAGGGCCGGAATGTTCTGATTGAGTCTAGCTACGGCTCACCAAAGATCACCAAGGGTAATTGTCTATATTTATGTTGTGTGGGAGACGGTCAATGGATTTGCTAACGTGGCCTCAAATAGATGGTGTCACCGTTGCCAAAGCCATTAGCTTGCAGGACAAGTTCGAAAACCTGGGTGCTCGTTTACTACAAGATGTCGCCTCTAAGACCAACGAGTCCGCCGGTGATGGTACCACTAGTGCCACTGTGCTAGCCCGGGCCATCTTCTCCGAGACCGTCAAGAATGTCGCTGCCGGTTGCAACCCCATGGATCTCCGCCGTGGTACTCAGGCTGCTGTAGACGCCGTTGTCGAGTATCTCCAGAAGAACAAGCGCGATATTACCACAAGCGAAGAGATTGCCCAGGTCGCTACCATCAGCGCAAACGGAGATACACACATTGGTAAGCTGATTGCCAATGCCATGGAAAAGGTTGGAAAGGAGGGTGTTATCACCGTTAAGGAGGGAAAGACCATGAACGACGAGCTAGAAGTTACAGAGGGTATGCGATTCGACCGTGGCTTCGTCTCTCCATACTTCATTACCGATCCCAAAGCCCAGAAGGTTGAGTTTGAGAAGCCTCTTATCCTTCTTTCCGAGAAGAAGATCTCGGCCGTCCAGGATATCATCCCTGCCCTCGAGGCTTCGACTCAGATGCGACGACCCCTTGTTATCATTGCTGAGGATATTGATGGCGAAGCTCTTGCTGTCTGTATTCTAAACAAGCTCCGTGGGCAGCTGCAAGTTGCTGCCGTCAAGGCTCCTGGCTTCGGTGACAACCGCAAGTCTATCCTTGGAGATATTGGTATTCTCACGAACGGAACTGTCTTCAGTGATGAGCTGGACATTAAGTTAGAGAAGGCGACCCCTGATCTGCTCGGCTCCACTGGTTCCATCACAATCACTAAGGAGGACACAATCATTCTGAATGGCGAGGGTACCAAAGATGCTATCGCTCAGCGATGCGAGCAGATCCGTGGTGTCATGTCCGACCCCACTACTTCCGATTATGAGAAAGAGAAACTTCAGGAACGTCTAGCCAAGCTCTCGGGTGGCGTTGCTGTTATTAAGGTTGGTGGCTCATCCGAGGTCGAGGTTGGTGAAAAGAAGGACCGATTCGTCGACGCCCTAAACGCTACCCGCGCTGCTGTTGAGGAGGGTATCTTGCCTGGTGGTGGCACTGCTCTTCTCAAGGCCTCAGCTCATGCCTTGAAGGATGTCAAGCCATCCAATTTTGATCAGCAGCTTGGTGTAAATATTATCAAGAATGCTATCACTCGACCCGCTCGCACCATTGTTGAGAACGCCGGTCTGGAGGGCTCGGTTGTTGTCGGCAAGCTGATGGATGAGTTTGGCGCTGACTTCAACAAGGGCTTCGACAGCTCTAAAGGTGAGTTCGTCGACATGATCGAGGCTGGTATCCTGGACCCTTTCAAGGTTGTTCGAACTGGGCTCGTTGATGCTAGCGGCGTCGCCTCGCTGCTTGGTACTACGGAGGTTGCTATCGTCGAGGCTCCGGAAGATAAGCCTGCGGCACCTATGGGTGGCGGTATGGGAGGCATGGGCGGCATGGGTGGTATGATGTAAGAGGTTGCACGAGGTACATCTAACCCCTCTTCTCTTCTATTGTATCAAAAGTAAAATTTCTGGGCTTAAAGGAGCATTGAATTCGGTGTTTTGGGGGACGGATCTTGTCATCTCATGTGGCCATGAAATCTCTCTTCTCTCTCTCCCCTCTACATCTGTTCACACTATTACTGATATCCCGAGCGGCGTTGTAAACGAGTGGTGTGTATACTATAGTCAACCAAGCTAGCTTGGCCTCCCTATTATTTAGTGGACCCAAGCTTTCAAAACGAAGAATCCGATTAAACTAATCACTCTCTAATTAGGCATCTGTCTCATCAACTTTTTATCGTGATGCCTACAGTACACATGTAACCAATGAACATATTCTATTCGTTTTTACATCAAAACTTGTTGCCTAGCGGAGGCGCTTTTCTAAGCTATGTAGAGCCCCTGACGTGATCATTCATAGTTCGACTTCGCTTCATAGCTAGCTCGCATTACGCAACCCTCAACTTTGCGACCTTGATTTAGATTAGCTATATAGGATTTGCGTATGAAAAACCTATATTCGATCTAATGCCAGATTATCAGCTTTGTACAACGCGAAAAGCTAGAAAGACTTAAAAAGGATACCTAATAGGCATCACTTTTGCATTGGTGCTTTCAGGTGCTTAGCAATATAGATACTAGGCAGGCTTATAGACAGGTTTGGAAATATTACCTTGTTGACTACAAGCGCAATAATCCCCTCTTAACAAAGTACTTTTTTTTCCTTTTTTCTTCTTCTTGGGCATGGATTAATCCAACTGTCTATAGGGATAACAGAAGCTTTAAATTAGTGTAATTTGAAAGATTTGAGGGATGAAAATCTGCGGTGAAATCCGTGCAGCAGCTCATGACAGCAGCTCAGAGGCGTCACCACCATGATTACATAAGCAATTACCCATGTCTTGGTGGCTCAGTTGGTCAGAGCGTTGGTCTCATAGAAAAGGTATGAAGCACTCTCAGAGTGAGCTATCCAAAGGTCGTGAGTTCGAACCTCATCCAGGACAGCGGCATAACTTGCTATCGGTGATTATTTTTATTTGTTTGTTTGATATCTTTCTTCTATTGCCCTACACACCTCCTAGCTGCTCTGTTATTCCTTTTGCTTACGTGTGGCGCTCGTCTTTATATCTACTGTAACGAAAATTTCCCCTTTGTTTATTTATTTATTTGTCCATAAGTAGAGATCGGTATACTCTTTTTATTTGATGTGACCTTGGTAAGTAGGGCTATTGGTGTTCCCAAAGGCACTTCAAGCACCTGCAAGTACGTATGTTGTACAGTGCATTAGGTAGGGCCCGCCTGTATTTGGCATACCAATGTCAGGTCATAGGTACCTATTGACCCCTCGTCAGCCAAGCCCGCCCACTACCTGGTACTATATTGTCGTTAAATAGGTACCTAATCGCATGGTCGACCCGCCAAGCCCCATCGATTCGTCACCCCACTAAGCACCGTATCCTACCTATCTTGGGAGGCGGTTGTGGCCCTATTGTGGTCCTGTATTACGAGGGGCTGCGCTCGTTGACACAGTGTGTGTTCATCCAAGCAGAACGTCACTTTTTTTCGACCAAGTCCGACCATCTTCCCCTCCATTGCGACGGGCGTCCCACCAACACCACACACATCCCGCATCCAGCCTGTCAGGTATCTACCTAGTCTCTAACCAACCTGACCTCTCTCTTTCCCTCCTCTACCCCTTATTATTACGACTACCGCCTAGTCAAAACCCAACTTCTTTAACGATTGCAGACCACGTCAGCGCGGCTCAACCGTTCCATTCACTTCTTCTGTTAGTGCTGCCTGCTGTATCCCCCCTCCTATATCTACTCACCTCTCCATGCGCGCTCAAGTGCTGTCGGCGCTGACCCATACTGCATAGCTTTCCTAGGCTCCATTTGCCGTCTTCCACTCGTCCGCCGCCATCATGGTAAGAACTCGCTCCTAATGCGCAAGATAAATAACAATGCTCTCTGGCTAACTTGCTTCCCCTTTGTAGTCTCAATCAGGGTTTGTTCCCCCTCTCTATGTCTCTATCATCGCCTCTGCACACCTCTCCACATGCGCTGCTCTATCCACATGATACTTGAAATTTTTATTGGCGAACTTAAGTAGATGTAACTAATAGGGCCAAACTAATGTAGAGCCACCGTTTCACAGGAATGCATATCTGCATTCAACGACCTTAAGCTCTCCAAGAAGTACAAATACATCATCTTTAAGCTGTCAGATGACAACCGCGAGATCGTAATCGAGGAAGCCTCCGGGAATAAGGACTGGGAGGCCTTCCGCGAGAAGCTGATCAATGCCACCACTAAGACCAGGACTGTAAGTTGTGGCCGCGCTGCTAGTCGGGTTATTTCTATACTTACAAACCTGCCAGGGCGCTGTCTCCAAAGGCCCACGATACGCTGTCTACGATTTCGAGTACACTCTGGCTAGCGGAGAGGGTTCCCGGTTGGTAGTATAACCTAGCACGGGCCGTCCACTATACTGATAGCAGACATAGAAACAAGATCACCTTTATTGCTTGGTCCCCGGATGACGCCGGTGTTATGGTCAGTAAACCCGATCCTGTTTCCTCACGCGCAACCTTTAACGCTAATAACTTTGTAGCCCAAGATGGTGTATGCCTCGTCTAAAGAGGGCCTCAAGCGCTCGCTCAACGGTGTTGCTGTTGAACTACAAGCCAACGACCCAGATGACATTGAACACGATACAGTGCTGAAGGTTGTCAGCAAGGGTCTGGCTGGTTAAGTGTGTCGAATACAGCTATGGTATGAATTAGACATCAAGATAAAAGGACCGGCTCGGTTATTCCTGGCCTACGAAGTCCATGATGCTGCGATGGGGGGAGATCTGTTACAAGTCTATCTACCGCAGGCTTGCAACGAACGGTAGATTGGTAGCCTATGACGAGGGTTGCTCGATACAAAACTCTAGTTTCGATGTTAGCCAATGATACACTATACCACTTTAGTTATACCTGGACTGCGAAGCCTTTTTTTTTTTTTTTCGTATAATCCAAACCCCTAACAATTCTGATGTGTGTATTCCTTCTACATCTGGCGTATTGGACTAATAAAACGGCGCTATTACGCATTTTTAAATATATAACCTCTTCGAAACACTCATCCTTTGGCTTTCCATGCTTGTTGAAATGTATTCGTGAGCTCCCCGGCTAATTGTTCATCTCGTATCCTTTGCAGTAAGAAACCATTAAGGTCGTCCCAGAAGTCCTGTGTTTGTAAGACGTCTGTGCCACTTAGGCCTTGAGCGACTTCAGCCTTTGCATCCGGCTTGATTGCTGTAGCCGCAGCGCCACCCATGACCATGACAGAGAACTCGACAGCTGTATCGTCGTCGCCAACCAAATCTTTGAGCACCTTGCTATCGGGGATGGGTTTTTTCTTGTGTAGGATTTTGATCTTGTTCTCAGCAATACCAGTTTCTTTGGCTACGGAGGTCTTGACATCATGTATAGAGGTGTTCAGGGTCTGCGAAGAGAGCCTCAGGTCGAGCGGTGGGTTGCGGAGCGATTTGACGGTTACGACGAGGCTTCGTTCTTGGCCTGGTGCCACGCTTGTGCTTTTTCGTTTACTCATCGGTTTCGGCATTTTGGGTAGGATGTACTGCATATCCGTCAGAACTGATTTCTATTCAAAATGCCAGGGTCGCAATCTCGCGGAACTGCGAGTGGTGTATGAATGGAGGGGTACGTACGGCGCTTCGCGCTTGGTAGGTCTTAGCATCTTCGACATGGTCTGGCGATAGCTTGATTGCACGGCCGTCTAGCGCAGCTAGGAAAGATTTGGCGAATGATACTTCTGTCATTATGTCTACTTTATGATAGGTGTTGTGCTTATGAGGATTTCTTAGATCTCTAGGAAACTAGTAATGCAATGCACAGACGGTGTTCTAGTTGTGACGAGGCCAGAAGATGAATTGCGTCGGGTCAGACATCCCCACTTTGTGGCTGGAGCTCCCGCCAGCCCCAGCATACAACCACGCTAGGCACAGTAGCATCTGGTATTTAGGTACCTACGTAGAGCTAGTGGGGATCAATTTCTTATCACTTTATCAATGTGGGTATCCTTCAAAAAAAGTTGATAGAGCAAGAAGCTCGAGCAGCGCGCTTTGCGACTCTACTAAGATTCTATACATAACACGATTTCAAGAACAATTGATTTCGTGCACGAGCCTAATTATTCACAATGGGTACTGGAAATCGATTTAAGCACCAGGGAATTCCGGAGCCTCTGTCCGACGCCCATATTGCGAAACTCAAGCGCAAAGCTGGACTTCCCGTCGACGATGTTCCAGAGACGAAGAAACGAAAGGCACAGAATGGCAAGGCTAGTAGCAAGCCCAACAATAAAGCCAATGCCAAAGACAATGGGAAGTCGAATGGAGCGAAACCGGTTAAACCCCTCCCGTTGCAGAATGGCAAAGCAGTGAAATCGAAGGCCAGAAAATCGAAGCCTGAACCCGAACTCGACCTCGAAGATATCAGCGATGGAATCGGAGGCGGGTTTAGCGACGAAGATATGTCTGGCCTAGATGGAGAAGGTGGACTAGGAGATGACTTCTTGGGATCAGACGACTCTGTTTATGACTCGGAGGGCGAAGGGGAGCGCAAGGCTATGTTCTCCGAGGACGAAGACGATTCCGACGGCGACGCCGAGGAGAAACTCACTGCGGCTAATATTGTCGGTCTATCTCGGAAGTTGGACGAGGAGAGAGCCGAGGAGGAGGCCGCCACTCAAGCTGAACTTCAGGAAAATCTACAGACCAACATTGACGTTCCTCATGTGCTAGAGGATGGGACTGAAGAACAACAGAACCAGCATTTGTTGCCTCCTGATTTGCAGCTGCTGAGACAAAGGATATCGGATACTATCCGCGTGCTTGATGACTTTACAAATCTCTCAGAGTCTGGTACCTCTCGATCAGAGTATACAGCCCAGTTGCTGAAGGATATCTGCGCATACTACGGTAGGTAACTGGCTACACCCTTATAAACCACCAAACTCTCTCGGACAGAACTAATACTAGCATTCTGTAGGTTACTCGGAATTCCTAGCAGAAAAACTATTGAACCTGTTCCCACCGGTAAGCTTCTATTACAGGCACCCTATCTTTTTAATTGTTATAACTACCTAGGTAGGGAACACATTCGCTAACTGACCTTGTAGAGAGAGGCGCTTGCATTCTTTGACGCCAATGAGACGTAAGTAATGCCTGGGACCATTTTTGACTTCCTTTTTGGCTAGAACTAGGAGTGGAATTACTGACCTGCTATATCAAAGGCCTCGCCCTATTGTCATAAGGTTTGCGCATTACTAGATATTCCTGACACACAACTTTAATTAACATAGCTGCCAGAACAAATACCTTGAGGACTAGCAGAAGAGAACTCGCCTCTGCTCTGATTAACCGCGGCGTGACCCTTGAGCCGGTAAGTGATTCTATCTCTTTGCTTCCTTGGGTTTCGAGGGTATCGGTCAACGTAGTTGGAGATCTCTTTGTTGAAATTAACGACATTCTTGATAACCGCTAACTCCCATTGAACAGGTTGGAAAATGGTCCAAGGTCAGTAGTTAGCCACAAGAGCGGGCGTCGCCTGCGGGGCCCCCCTTTAATATTGGCCTTCCTTCCGATAAGGTTGAAAGATGTGTGAGGGAACTAACTTTAGAAACTCATAGGTTGGCCTACAAATATTCGAATCAAACGTTCCGTGAGTCTCCCGATCCAATCTACAGCTTATATCGAGGCATATGTCATTACATTTCTCAACAGCCTTTTAGATTATCAGTTACTAACTTTATGCTCATAGTTTGGGAGGTAATTATGAGAACCGCCACATAGCTGTCAATTTACGGCTTATGCAGAGCTGACTCGTGGATTTTAGCTACACCTGAGTATCTTGCAGGACACTACATTCTGCAAGCCGCAAGCAGTTTCCTTCCCTGTATGGCGTTAGCCCCTCAAGAAGGCGAGAGAATAT